TATATATATATATATATATCACAACTTGATTTCAATGCTTGAAAATAAATATCAAATGGAATTGTGCATTTCTTCTCATCTTATTTAATGTATATGTTTACTGTAATAAATTCAATAGCTAAAATATGCTTATTATAATAAGCTTAAAAGCTTAAACCAAAAGTGAAGAATTGCTTCATCAATATGTGCTACTTTATCTATTACACCAGCAATTCTTCCGAGGACGCCCTCAACAAAAGCATAAAACCGGAAATGACGTGGTTGCTAAGCAACAAGCTCATGCATAATCATGAATATTCAGTGGCACCTGTTCTAATTAGACTAACAATAAAATCTTTTTGGTCGATTTTGTCAAAACTGAGCTAAAAGTTTTTATTGTTAGTCTAATGAGCACAGGTGTTACTGAATATGCATTAGCTGTAGCCTAGCAACCGACGTCATTTCCTGTCTTGAAGAATTCGACAGCACCTTGCTCTGAAAAGTTTCATAATTTGTTGGTGTCATATGAATATATTTGGAAAGAGTGTTTATAAGATAGAGTAACCTGTAATAGTGCTATATTCGAATCGAAGTGATTATAATATATTTAATTCGATTATATACTGATTAATAATCATGAAATATATAATATTATTATGATGCAATTAAGACAAAGGAAGTACACACAATGATGTATTATAAATTACATTACAGTTTACTTTTATTTCTTACATACTCGGAAATGTTACATCAGAACTATATAAACGTAATATAAATAGAATATAAATATTCTAGTTCTATATAAAATAATATAATATAATATATATAACACTTAGGCCTAATTATATTTAAGTATGTAATATCGTTCGAGAATTACTTGTTCGCTGTATATAAGAAACATAATTGGCAAATTTGATTCAATTCCGGCAATCCAGTGATATAAATCCTAATAAACATCCGCGCGCGATTATTTGTAGAATTAATACCACATAAATCCGGCTATCTTGTGTTCCGGCAATTTAATACACAACGTGTTCCGCTGAAAATAATTGTACATCGACTTCGCACTTAATAATGGATCGGTAGATTTGACCTGAGACAGACTGAAATAAAAGAGATTAAACTAGTGAGAAATGCATTCTAACTATTTTCCTTTTGGCATCTGTGTTAAGTTAGGCCTAATTAAGTATAAATCTCATTAGATTAAAAACACTTTTTGGAAACTTTAACATTCATACTTTCATGAGGTATAGAAATACAAATTTAGAAAATAAAATTGATTGTTTGATTGATTTAATACATTATGTAAAGTGTACATGGTAATAAAGCGTTATTTTAATATCATTTGATGAGTACGCTCCCCAATATTCCTCCCCAAATCGAAAAAGGTCAAAATTTTAAGACAATCGAAAATGTACTGAATACACAGGGTTTTTTTTTATTTTTTTTGTAATAAAACTTAAAAGCGAATATTAAATCTCAACATTTTAACCAATAATCTATCGGACCCCTGTATCGTCCTATAATGACAAAGCTTCGATCCAACCTACTTTTCCACTTCACGGCATCTGGAGTTTTAGGTGAACCCTCCCCATTCGGTATGATCATTATATCTTATGTTCCTATCTGAGATTATTATTTATCTATGTATAATTATGTATATGTATATGTATATGTATATGTATGTATGTATATATATATATATATATATATATACATAAAAATATATGTATAGGC